CAAATGTACAAATGTGCTTGACACATGGATGGATGGATGGATTGTAATGAGCTGTATGAGCCCCCAATAAAATGATTTTTAAAAAACAGCTGTCATTGAGTTGATGCCAATTCACAGTGCCCCCCGTAAGTATTAGATAGAGCTGTGCTCCGTAGGCTCCAGAATGTTTTATTTGGTGGGGTTGGAGGGGGCATGTAGACAACAGGCCTTTCTTCTGAAGTATCTCTGGGTAGTCTCAAACCTCCAACTCTCCACTTAGCAGCTAAGCATGTTCACCATCGGTACCACCCAGGGACTCTTTTCTCCATTTAGGTCCCCTGGAGGTAGACTGCATGGTGCCAGCCACCATGCTACTAAGTATGCTCACTGCCACTGGGTCCGCTTTATGGCATAATGACCGTGTACAAGGATGCTTCCCAAAAAAATTCATGGGAAAATGGATTTAAAAGAAGATAGAATTTTCCATGAACTTTCTGAAGCCCTCTCATACATGACAAAGAATGCCTCATTTCACCCTCTACCATCCCTGTTTTTAACATGTTGCAAAGAGTAACCTGCACAGAGGGAAGTTTGGAAAATTCTATTCCAGAATTTTCTGTGAGGGTGGAAACATTCCATGCTGTCTAATAACGGAAACCACTACATGTCACTGTAATGTTTTTGAATATGCCTAGTGCAACCGAGGAGCTGAATTTTAACTTTTATTTCATTTTAATGAATTTACATTGACATTCTAATGGCTGCCATGTCAGACCGTGCAGATCTAGTGTCCATTACAGACCACCATGTCCACCTTGGTTTGATTTCTTAGGCAGCATAATTCCCCCAAGACATGAAGTTGGGCAGAACCTGTGTGAGACGAGGATGGTGCTAAAAACAGAACACCGGCTTTGGAGCTAGATGAAGAGTGAGTCTGAAATCCAGGGGCTACCTATCATTCACAGGCTGTACCCACAACATAGTATTTAACTGCTCTGCGTGCCCACCATCTTTTGGTTAAGAAAGCATAACAACGCTGTGTCTAGGGCAAATGTGATCATCACTTAAAACAGTGTATGAGAGAGGTGATTGGCAGAAGGCCTGGTACAAAGGGGATGAAACACCAAAATTGTGTCAAACAGACAAATCCAACCATCTCACAGTCATCTAGTCAATGCCAACTCATAGCAACCCTAGAGGACGGCCCAGAACTGCTCTTGGGAGTTTCTAAGACAGTAGCTTTTGACAGGAGTAGAAAGCCCTGTCTGTCTTGCACAGAGTAGTGGGTGGGTTCGAACTACTGACCGTGCAGTTAACAATCCACTGTGTAACCACTACACCACCTGAACTACTCCTTCGCAAAACATATATTACGTGCTTGCACCTCTCTCTTCCTGGTGAGAGCACAGGAAAAAACGGAGAGGAAGTCAAAATACTAATCGTGTGGGGAAAAGGGCTTTCATCTGATTTCCATTGTGCGTGTGTATGTATGTGAGCGACAGAGAGAGAGACAGAGACAGCGTGAGCATGTGATGAGACACACAGACCTTCTGCTCCTACCTACCGTCTATGTGATTTTCTTCTAATATTCTGACGTTAGAATCTAAATAAGGTTTGCTTCAAATAAAGATTGCTATGAGTCAGAAAGAGCCCTGGTGGCATGGTGGCTTATACATTGGGCTGCTAAGTACAAGGTCAGCAGTTCGAAACAATCAGCTGCTCCTCAAGAGAAAGGTGAGGCTTTCTACTCCTGTAAAGAGTTACTGTCTTGGAAACCCAAAGGGGCAGTTCTACCTTATCCCTGGAGGGTTTTGTGAGGCAGAGTTGACTCAATGGAGGTGAGTTTGAGTTTGTGAGTCAGAAACAACTCAAAGGTAATAGTCACTCCCCCTGGAATGAAGTTCCTGGTGTGTGTAGGCCACTGTTCTGGTGATTTTTAAAAATAATAACAATATTTGTTGTATTAAATATATACATTAATCCATGCAAACATACTGTAGAATATTAATATGAAAAATAGATGTTAATATTAAATGCGTATATTATGAAATAATATTGAATAGATAGATATATTATTCCTGCTAGTACAGTCGTATCCTGTCTTCCAACTCCTCTCTTCGTTTCACTTTATCAGTCAGCTCCAAATCCATCCTGCTTTTTGATATTAGTGCTGAGATTAGGATTCACAGTTCTCATTGGCCAACTGACTTCCTTAGGATCTGCCAGTAGGGGGTGCCCACGCATGATTGCAGGCAGAAGGAAAAGAAGAAGCAGGCAAGTTTTCTGCTTCCTAGTCCAGCAGCATTGTCCCAGCAATAACTCTTTGTCTTGGCAGCAGCAATTGGTTCCAGTAATAGCAATTGATTCCACTTTGCAGTTCTCTGTTCCCAGAATCAGTGTCATGGTGTCTCCTTCAGTAAAACCAGCCACCAGTGCCTCCTCCTTACAGATCTGGGCTCCCCATCTGCCAGGCCTTTCTCCCTAAATTATAATTATCCTAACCTCTTCCCTTTGATTCCCCCACTCCTACAGATGATAGATGCACCCTCCGTGATAACTCAGTATCCCTTTAGTACAGTACTTAAGTAACAATTCCTTATCTAAATTCCTGCTGTTAAAGTACCTGGTAT